CCCACCCTGGGCGGCCCCCATCCCATCTCAGGCCTGACCTTTCTCAGTTCCAGCAGAAAGCACCACCTCCAGTCCAGGACAAGCAGCCCCATTATGCAGCCTGACCGCCCCCCACGCCAGGGGCCCCAGTAAACCCACCCAGGCTGGCCCCACACTCCTTCTTCTCCCAGGTCCTGCCCCACCTGGGAGTCAGCCCCACAGGAAGGCCCTTGTCCTCCCTTCCCTGTGTCCTCCTGGGCTGAGCCCTGAGCTGGATACGGACAGAGCCTGTCTTTTCTGGGGCTTGGGTCCCAGTCTAGGGCAGCTCCAGGCCCTGTGCAGGTCCTCAGTTCTGTCTGGGTTGTCTTACAGTGAGACAGAGCTGCCTCCTGACACTGCTCGTGAGGAGAAGGTAAGAGCCTGATGCATGGGGGGCTGGTCCAGGGGCGTGGGGACTGGGCGGGTGGTCAGTGAGGCACAGGAGGCCGCTGGCCAGGGCAGTGGCAGGTGAGGGCAACACGCGATTACTGGGAGGGGCAGCAGTCCCTGCTGGATCTGACCCCAAGTTGCTGTAACTTGGGCAGTTTGATAAAATTCCAAAGTGAGAACCACAGTTGGTGGTTGGGGGTGGCTGCTGCCTGTGTCAGGACCCCACCCAGAGGCTGGGACCTGACCTAAGACTGTTGTGTCTGTGGCCTTAGGACCGCACGTCCCGGGGTCCCAAAGCCAGCCCACTGGTGCTCATTTGCTCAAAGGCTCTCAAACCTTAGGGTCTGCCCTTCCCTGGTTCCCTCCAGCTGGGTCCACCAGGGCTCCAGAGCCCAAGATCCAGCATCCACGGGCGGCTCTGGGAAGCCTGGCAGCTCCCCTAACGCCAACATTCCTCATTTGACAGCAAATGCGGCGGGAGATAACACGAAAGAGCAAGTGGATGGAAATGCTGGGACAGTGGGAGACATATAAGAACAGTAAAAAGGTAATGTGTGGAGGGAGAGGCCCCCGGAACCACTTTCTGCAGAGACAGGGGACAGACACCCATGGCTGTGACCTGGCGCCATCAGCCTCTCAGAGGGCGGGTGGCACACTGTCCTCACCCAGAGGACTGCAGGCCTGGTCGGTGGTTTGCCTGCCTATTTGTGCAAGCGTCACCTTGCTGGGAGGGAATCTGAATCTAGGGCTGGAAACACCCGGAGCTCAAGGCTAGGGATGACCTGGTGACCCAAAGGAAGGAAAAGGTTCAGATCAGAGTCCCGACTCTGAGTGTCCATCCACTCTTTCAGTCCTGGGAAGAGAGACTGTGTCCCAGCTTAATGTCACCTCTAATGAGGAATCATGGGGCCAAAACCAACCATTTCCAGAATCCTCGGGCTCTGGTCCTCACTGGGGTCGCCCCGTGGCCTGTGACACCAG